CGTGAGGAGCCGCGATAGTGCAGTCGGTATAGCGACTGGTTACGGGCTGGACGTGAGGAGCCGGGATAGCGCAGTCTGTATAGCGACTGGCTACGGGCTGGACGTGAGGAGCCGTGATAGTGCAGTCGGTATAGCGACTGGCTACAAGCTGGACGTGAGAAGCCGGGATAGCGTAGTCGGTATAGCGACTGCCTACAGGCTGGACGTGAGGAGCCAGGATAGTGCAGTCTGTATAGCGACTGGCTACGGGCTGGACGTGAGGAGCCGGGATAGCGCAGTCGGTATAGCGACTGGCTACGGGCTGGACGTGAGGAGCCGGGATAGCGCAGTCAGTATAGCGACTGGCTACGGGCTGGACGTGAGGAGCCGGGATAGCGCAGTCAGTATAGCGACTGGCTACGGGCTGGACATGAGGAGCCGGGATAGCACTGTCGGTATAGCGACTGGCTACGGGCTGGACGACAGACGGGTCTGGGCAAGATTCTCACCTCTCCACGCCTTCCAGAGAGATTATGTAGCCCACACAGCCTCCTAGTCAGTGGGTACTGGGTTTAAAGTGACCGAGGACTGAAGCTGACCACTCACCAACTAGTGCCGAAGTCAAGAATATGTGGATCTATACATCCACTGCCTCATACGTCTTCACGACACAGGGACAAATTTTTCCCTTTTTTAGTTGTGTAGATAAAGTGACTATGCTGCGGACTGGACATAAATCATGGCTTCATTCTGGGCAGAAGCATAATTTTTTTTTCTTCTCAGAATCCAGATGCAATATCCTTTCCGATGGATAGCGGGATTTCTTTCCCCACAGGTAAAATAGCCGGAACATAAAGCTGACCACTCTTATTCACTGCCTTCGTTAAGAATGACGGAGCTATGCTTCCACTCCCTCCAACACCTTCACGACGTTGTGCTTAATTAAACAAAGGCATAACTTTACATTACTTAAATTTTTACCCGTTTATTGAAAAAGGTGAAACAGAGGCTAAACTTTCGAACAGCAACTCCATTTCTTTCCCTGGATATGCACCGCGGATATGAGAAGACTGTGCATTTTATCTTGTACATAGTTCAGTCAGTATAGCCACGGACTAACTGCTGGAGAAGCCTCCACACCGTCCAGATCGTCTCTAGAGCCCACCCATCCCCCCCCCCCCTTAATGGGTACCGGTGGCTCTTTCCCCGGGGATAATGCGGAAGAGTCGTGAAACTGGCCACTCACCTTCATCTAGTGCTAAAGTAAATAATGGTGGATCTATATCTCCATTCCCCCATATATCTTAATGGCATGGTCCTTAATTCATTATTACCTTCACCTTATAGTATATACAGAGTTAGTCAATGAATCGGGCGATATGGGAGCTGCATTTTTTTCTGGATTGGTTGGAGTTGGGAGGACGCCACTACTGCCACCCTGCAGCTTACTTCAAAGCGTTTTAGTTACAATGGAGCCGTGGACTGGAGCAGAAGGCGCTTTTGCTGTGAAAGCAGTTTACAAAAACGGAGACAGTTTCGTGATCGCTCAGCGTGAATTTCGAAGAGAGTTTGGTATTCATCGCAATTGTGCTGTTCCATCTGCCCATGCCATCAAGACCTGGGTTCAAAACTTTCTACACTAAAGAAGAAAGGTGGTAGCGTAAAAACAGCACGTACACCCGAGAATGTAGCGGCAGTGAGAGAAGCCATTGAACGAAGTCCACGCCGGTCTGCGCGTCACCACGCTACGTCACTCGGGCTGTCCGAAGCCGGCGTTCGGTGGATTTTGCACAAAGATCTCCACTTCTACCCCTATAAAATTCAAATTACTCACGCACTACACGAACACGACTATGAAAACAGAGTTGATTTCTGCCAGTCTTCTTTGCAATTAATTAATCAAAACCAAGACGTCGTTAACAGCTTACTGATGAGGGATGAAGATCATTTCCATTTGTCGGGGTTTGTTAACAAGCAAAATTTCCGCTATTGGTCAGCCACAAACCCCAAAGAAATTTATGAGACCACTTCATAGTTCCAAAGTCCCAGTATTGTGCACGATATCTTCGTTTGGAATTATTGGCCCGTACTTTTTTGAAGATGAGTTGTTAAGGGCTGTAACTGTGACTGGACCACGTTACGTTCACATGTTGGAGAGCTTCTTAGCTCCTGCACTTGCTCATCTTCCAGTCAACGAAGAAATGTTTTTCCAGCAAGATGGGGCTACGTGCCACACCGCACGAGCTTCCATGGCAGTTGTGAATAACCTGTTTCCTAACCATGTTATCTCCAGAAATGGGGACATCATATGGCCAGCCAGGTCGCCTGGTCTTACCACATGTGATTTTTTCTCAGGGGATATATGAAATCCCAAGTTTTCAAAGCTCCAGCACCCCACACAGTTCAGGAGTTGAACGAATTCCCGTGGAGATGCTGCAAAGACCAATGAGTGACTTCAGGAAGAGACTTACCGAGTGCCTCCAGCGGAATTTTGGTCATCCGTCGGATGTTACACCGGCGAAATAAACTACTGTTTTCAGTGAGTTAATTGAGAAAAACCAAATGCTTTTATGTTTACACTGTATTCATGGGTGTTAAAACCAAATAAATCAATAATTTACTGTTCATAACGTTTTTAAAATCGCCCGATTCATTGACGCACTCTGTATATAGCAGTCCCTACAGAATATACATTACTCTAGCAGTGAAAGTCGTTTGTTTCCTGTTGTCACAGATTCCACTCGTAACAAATAAATATCTTGCGTGAGTTTACTATGTACGAGTAGTAAACTCAAAGAGAAGTGAGCTTACAAACAGCTGATCAATCATGGCCTGCCGTAATCAACGAAACAATTAACACAGTACAGCAGTGTCTCATGGTTCACTGCTCACATTATGATATGGACTGTGTGTGATTAACGATGTCCAGGCAGAATAATCGTTCTCTTGGTCGAAGTTCGACCTGAAGCTTCCAAATGCAGGGCAGGAATGCCAGCCATCATACCAGATTTCCAATTGATGTTGTCCCTTAATGTTAACATCTGCATATGAACATTGTTCTGTTACCATTAGAAATGTGAGATACGTAAATTTGTTTAAATGTGAAAGTAAAAGTACACTTACCTTTGTGGATTGTAAAGGGTTCTGACGGTGCGTGTATAACGCTCAGGATTACTGTTTTTTTTGGGCGGGGGGGCTTTGTCCATCGTCCAGTATTCTAGAAGCTAGAAAACACACAAAGGTCGTTTGTGGGCAACCGTAAGCCAGAGGAGTGAACACTAAGCTGTAGAAGTGAGCAATAGAGTATTAGTTGAATTCTTAATTTCCAGGGTGACTGAACAAGAAGTGACAATAAGATTTCATAGTGATTTGAAGTGCTAGTTTCTGTGTTGAGATCCGTTGCTAGGGGACGACTAGTGGAAACCGAGATTCCTAATGCGTGTACAACGGTGATCTGTAAATTGTGTAAATCAGCGACAGCGCTGTATTAAGCATGGTTAAGAGAACAAGTAACCGAAGTACTAATAAATCCAGTCATCTGATCTGTAATTCGTTAATTTCGTCACGCGTAACCTCCTACACGTGACAGTATCTTAAAATGAACCACGATCACTTTCTTAAATATTCATCCTGATATATCGTTCAGAATTACTGTACAATTAAACGTCCGAGACAGAAAACCTAATCGAAACTCTCGTACTTCGATTTGTTTAAAGGCGGGAATTATAAAATCATTTGTAGTTAGGCTTGTGAAATTGTGTGCACAGATAAATAACGACATAGCTTAGCTAAGAATTCGTCGTATGAAATAGCTTTCCGTTCATTAAAAGTTAACAAGTATGGCGACGGCTTTGAACTTTGAGGCTATAAATGACAAAAAGGAACTTAGCCCGAATCTGTAAGAGCAGGAACCGTTCATAGAAATGAATTGTAGATCATTGAGTTGTATATGTATTAGTTTTAACATTGCGATATAGATCGAAGCATTTGCGATGATGTAGTCTTAGTATGGTTTTCTAAAATTTTATAGTATTATTTATTTGACTGCATTTTTCCAGTGAATATGAATTTCCAGGAGTCTTCTATATATGAAAATCTGTAAATATATGCTTTTGTCAATAATCAATAAGTGAAACTAAGGCACTCTTTTCATGTTACAGTTGTCTTGATGTGTGAGAGCGTGTCGTCATGCTGCTGAGGCTGGCAGTACCTCTGCTTGCCGCCACTCTGCTATTGGCGCCACCTCGGCAAGCCGTNGGGTACTGGTGCTTACCATCAGTCCCTACTCAGTCAGCGAGGTCGGCTTCTACTGGCTCAGAGGTATCTCAATGCTTCCCCCCATCTACCAGAGGCGTTAGAGATTACTGTTGGGCGGGAAATGTCCATAATTTAGACATGAGGTTCTTTACATGCCGTAAAGCTACGACACGGGACCCACGGCTTAAAGTCCCTCCCGGAGGACTTGTTCCCTGAATTTTTCCGCCCTTAAAAATTCCACGACCTCCGCCGGGTTTGAACCCGCGTACCCTGAGTCATGAGGTGGGAACGTTACCCCTAGACTACGGAGGCCGCTTATATACGTGTATAAGTGTGAATGAAACTTGGTCACTCTTTCTGACGGGACATGTAATGCCGTAAAATTTCGGCAAAAGTTTTTGTAACTTTTAGGTATTAAGTTATCTTGGGTTCACATTAGAGAAGTCAAACGAAGGGTTAATATTTGTAGTAGAATGCGGAAGTGGCAATGTCAATAAGAAATTGTCACATTGCATAGACTGCATATTCACGCGGAAGAGACGGCAAGCGACTGTACGGCCAAGGCGTACACAGTGCCGACTCAGCGAGACGGCCGGAGCAGTTCCAACTCTCTTTACCGAGATGACCAACGAGAGACGGACCTTTGGGGGAGAATTCGCTCCTTAAGGGACGGAGCTTACCCCGAAGACCTCAGCAGAGGAAAAGTTATAAAGTTGCTAACACAACTTGAGGAGCTATCTTTCGGAATCCGCAACGATGAACCAATAGTCTATCATTGAATCTTTTTATCAATCTATATGAATCAATCTATCTGAGTGCACAAATGTTAAGGGAGTAGCCAGCCAGAGCCATGGTCGTGCCAGACCAAGTGACGGGACACCGTCAGCTTCCTACACCAAGTAAGTCGAACTGTTCATATCAGTCATGGATATACAGTGTGATATTATTAAAGTGTCATGTTACAGGGGTTAGGGCAGAGAGCGTAGGCCCTGAGTGGGGACGTAGGAATTACCTCGAGAGCTAGGGATGGTGAACCCAAGTGTAGTTTCCTCTAAATTACAATGTGTACGTAACCGGCCACTGTCGGCCATGAAAGTGATATGTATATAAGTGTATATATTAGTAGACAAATGTAGACCAAGTAAGGGGGATGCATGTGTTAATGACTTACCCCACAGTCACACCCTCTATTTCCCCGATCTACCGTACATCTCCTGTTAGAGATACTGTGAACTCACAGCCAAGAGGTAGCTAACGAGACAAGTACCAAGTGCTTAGCCTTGCAACTGGCCATTCCCCAAGGGCGCAACGGCATGGATGTCGGAAGAGGTGGAGAGATTCCTCCACGCCCCTCTTCGCGCTATAACATATGGAGGCAGCGGTTGGATACCTCAACGCCCCCTGTCACCACGGCATAACAGGACAAGATACTTAAATGAGATTCACTTGAAGGCGAATACGTGAAAAGAAATTGAATCCTTTTAGATTGTAAATAGTTGTGATGATGGTGTATAACACACAGAATCACTGGGATTTTGGACTTTTACCATTGTCCGGTATTCTAGAAAATAAAAAAATACACGACGTTTCGATAACTAGATCTGTTTCTGTCCTCAAGTGAGGGAGGGAAGACACCTACTCAGTTTGGGCCATTAGAAAGAGCTGGTCCAGAAATTGAGATTAGCTCTTTCTAAGGGGCCAAACTGAGTAGGTGTCTTCCCTCTCACCTGGGAACTGAAATAGATCCTTTTTCCGAAACGTCGTGTTTCCTATTTTATAGAATACCTGACGGTGGAAAAAGTCCAAAAACCCAGTAATTTTGTGTGAATCCTCTTAGTTTCAGATACTGTAACCAGGGGCGTGGAAGCAATTAGATGAAGAATTCCATGCCCATGCACTTTATTCTCCCTTGTTATTGTTAGGTGGGATATGGGGAAATAAAAAAATGCATATAAAGTTTCTGATGGATGGATGTACTTGGTAACGGTGTGCACATTTTTATCGCTTTTTTATTTTGGAGCACATAACCCTTACAACCAATGTAAGTTAGCATCTTTCCCCTCCTTTGTTGTGCATACACCTTACAAGAATAGCGGTGTAGAATGAGGCATTTCTGAAGGCAGACACACACTACATTTCTGAGATGGCCGATTCTCCATTGTACTCTGCGAATAATGGTCCGGCTTCTACCGACATCAGACAATATCGGTTCAGGCGCCACCCATGAAAATCGGGCTGTAAACAAAGGTCGTACAAGAGCTCCGATGTATTTTCTTTAGAAACTACAATTTTCTTTGTTAAGGCAGCGCCAGTAAAGCGTTCTGTGGTACAACAATGGCACGGGCTGTTGAAAGAAGGTTCTGTACTTAATCACTGAAATAGCAATCGATATAAATCGATGGCCTACTAAAGCGACTCGGGAATTTGTTCCACGCTCTCAAGCTTGTACTTCGAGACTCCTGATATCGGGGTCATTTGACTTAACCTACTTCAGTTGACGCTGCTTAACTCCAGCGATGTAAAACACTTAACAGAAGAAATAATAATAAGTACTGCAAATTGCTAGATCGCCTCTGTTGTCTAGTGGTCAGAGTTCCTGGCTACAGATCCAGAGGTCCGGGTTTGATTCCCGGCACTACCAGATTTCCTGAGAGTAGTGTGTCTGAAACGGGGTTCACGCAGCCTCGTGAGGATAATTGAGGAGCTACTTGAATGGAAAAGTAGCGGCTCCGGTCTAGAAAACCGAAATTAACGGCCGTGGGGATTCGTTACGCTGACCACGCAACACCCTCTATCAGCTAAAGTTGGCACTAACTTCGCCGACAAGCGGCGGTCGCTCGGTCGGTATAGTTCGTTTGCTGACTAAAGCACTGAGTTAGTTACTGCAAATTGTTTTTACACATGGTTGTAGTCAGGGAAGAAAGCACAGTGTACACAGTTGCTTACGTCATATGTTTCTATATTGATAGTGAACCCAACACGAATGTCTGCGTATTACTTGGGGGGGGGGGTTATGGTACGATCTACACTCTGTAGGGGATGATTTATATGCGAGGAATTGGAAAATATTTCGGAGGAAGCGATCTTGGCCTAATCGAGGTACTGTCCCGGAATTCTCTCTCAGGGACTGAGGAAAATCACGAGATACCTTGGTTCGGATACCCAGTGTCCTGGCTAAGATTCGAAGAAAGTGTCTTCCGAATTGGAATCTAAAATGTTACCACTGTGCCAGCCCTCTCAGAGACGGCCAGTCCGAGGGATTTTGTTGCGAGTCATTCTCAGTATAATTAATTATATTCGTTTTGGTTTAATAGACCCTGTCGTACCAGTGCACTTCTGACTGCTTCCGTCGAAGTTGTATAACCCGTGTGATACATGTAGGTACTGATATTCACTCGTAATTTTTCCATGAAATATTATGCAGTCATTCAGAAGAAGAAATATTCAGATCAGTCACATAGACATATCAGTTCTGCATTGTCGAGTAAATTAATTTTGGTTCTTGTGAGCCAAAATAATCCCCACTTCACATGAAGATCTAATTCATTTACAAATTTTCTCTAAAAGGTCAACTCGTGTAGTGAGGTTTGTATGGTATGTTATGGTATGGTTATCTTTCTGCTTAATTAATTAAGCGCCATGCCATGAAGACATATGTGTGAGTGGAGTTATAGCTCCATAGATGGATCTGAGTGGTTAACTTCACGCCAATTCCGCTTTACCTCTGGAGAAACAGCTTCCGGTAACCATTGTAAGGAGGCTGAGTGGGCCCCAGAGGCAGTGATTTGTACGTGACAAAAATGTAGTGGTTATTACGATCTGTAATACCTACTTGGATTTCTTGTTAATAGTGTTACACTCTTGTTTAGTGCAACTCGATACAGACGCCTTGAGTATATTTGAGAGAAAGTTTTGACGAGTATGGGCGAGTTTGTACGAAAGACAGAGAAAGAAGTGGGGGGTATACTTATGCAGTGAGGAGCTTCACAATTGGGTGTGATCACGGTAACCAATTGGGGACAATGAGATGAACGGAATGTGTAACACGCATCGGAGAGACGATGAATGGATACAGAATGTTAGTCGGAAAACCTGAACGGAAGACACCCCCTGAATAACATAGGTGAAGATATCTACCTGCCTACCATTCGGCGCTACAGCCATGGGTGAGCCTTGGCCTCCTCTACACCCAGTCTCCACAACCAATGCTTGTTGCCATAGGAATGGACCCGAGGCTGGTTGTTAGGTTTCTGAACAAAATTCTTTTTAGAGGATGAGGTTGTTAGCCTCATGCACATACCCCAACCTAGGCCGCGCCATAGTTCAAGCGGTTAGTCGCTGGCTTCCCACCGCGGCGACCCAGGTTCGATCCCGAGTCTGGTCAAGTGGGATTTGTGGTGGACAAACTGGCACTTCGGCGGGTTTTCTTCGAGCACTTCGGTTTCCCCTGCCAATCATCATTCCACCAAATTCTCCATCATCATAATTACCCGGGGAAGGCTACAATAGGCCAATTAGTGGCTGCCGTGCCGAGTGGATCCAGTTGGACTCCACCCCTCACTAAGCGAACCCCCAACCTGGAGGTCCAGGTTGTCTCTCTTAGTCTGAATTCTACCCTTTGATTTTTCCGGCATGGGTGCCCCTACTGGTAGGTAAACTGCCTCCGGGTTAGCTCCCCAGGTCACAGAGTCACGCAAGCTCCACGACAAGGTGGAGACACCTTCGGTAGGACATAGGTGAAGATGGGAAGATAACATTAACATTAATCTTAGAGAAGTAAGGTACGTGTATTAATAGTAGAGAGAATTTACCGACTACACAACACGTTTTTTATTATCACTACATGTTTCGATCTCAAGAGGTCATCCTCAGGTGTATGAACACGGCTGTATAATTACACGCAGTCACATTCACTTTTCACTCATTCGACTCTGTATCTTATCCAGACTTACGCTCACTAATATATCGAGTTCTTTTATAAAACACAGGTTAAAATTATTATTATTATTCTAATTTAATTGTTAAAAGTTAAAAGTTCGTGAATCGAAGTTCAATTCATGTCACTGGTTACACTTTCACTTTTTTTTACAGTCTCATTTTACTTACGCGCACAACTGCGTCTAGTTCTTTTTTAACTAATTTAATTATTGTTATTATTATTATTGGTTAAAAGTTCGTGAATTAAAGTTCAACTTATGTTATTCGTTGCACTTTCACTTGTTTATGAGGTCTCGCTGTTCTTCCGCGTTCTCTGATGCTGCTGGATCTGAAAGTGTAACCAGTGACATGAATTGAACTTCGATTCACGAACTTTGAACTTTTAACAACTAAATTAGAATAATAACAATTTTAACCTGTGTTTTATAAAAGAACTCGATATATTAGTGAACGTAAATCTGGAAAAGATATGAGGTCGGATGAGTGAAAAGTGAACGTGACCGCGTGTAATTATACAGCCGTGTTCATACACCTGAAGATGACCTCTTGAGGTCGAAACATGTAGTGATAATAAAAAAAAACGTGTTGTATAGTCGGTAAACTCACTCTTCTATTAATTAAACACACAACAGGATGCAAGAAACGATTAAAAGGTACGTGTATGTTAGTGTGAATTAAATTTAAGTTAGTATACAAAGTAAACACAAGGAAATTTTATTTTACTTTTCTGTACGATGTAATGTCAGTGATATTGATTAGCTTGGCAGCGGCATACCGAAATGCGTAAATAATAAATTACAAAAGATGCAATAGACCGAAGCCAACTGTTCAGTGCGTTTCCTGTTTTTTCCCGTACTACACTGCCTAAGGGTGAAACAACATATCTATATGTATCGCCTTAACACAAGGATTTGTTGAGACTACAAATAGTCGTGGAGTTTTAACTAGTCGAAGCGCATTTCTAAAGCCGATGCATCAGTTACTTGCTGTGTCTTATTGTACCGGACATTATTTTGATATTTAAAAGTGTTGCCAACCTTACAAAACGTTGTGTTTTCCTTTCTCTTGTTCGGCATCAACAGAAGACCAGGAACTACACTTCAGCTGTGTATGTCAGTATAAAGCTAAACATTCTCTAAAGCGTCACTGTAATGCTTCGAACGTGCAGCTCACCAGTGGGTTCAGAGGCCGAACAGCAGAATTCCTAGGAAGATTGCAGTCGTACTTAGAACTGATGATGTTGACATGATCTGCTGCTGTTTGCCCATTCAGCGCTTGCATGAAAAGATCCTTAGGAAGGCCCCAAAAACTATGTTGACGTGTCCTGCTATTGCTTGCCCATTCAGCTGCTCGAGGAAGGAATCCTTTGGAAGTCCTCGGTTGAACTTGGAGCTGATATGTCTTGCGTTTGCTTGTCCGTTAAGCGGCTGTATGGAAATATCCTTAGATAGGCCTGAAGAATTGATGTTTTTACGTGTCCTACCTGCTGTTCAGGGGCTCGGCGGAAGGATCCTCACGAATTCCACAATTGTGCTTAACACTGATATGTTGACGTATTCTGCTGTTATTCCCTGTGCAATGATTGAAAGGAAGGCTCACAATTGTAATAGGAGTTCTGTACTGAAACGCCCTGATGTCTCTTCTCCGTTAAGCGGCCCAATTGAAGAAGCACTAGGAAGGCTGCAGTTGTAGTTAAATCTTGTATCTTGACATATCCCGCGGTTACTTGCCCGCGTCCTTGTACTGCAGCCATCACACTGCAAACTGCGCTGTTGTGACACACCTACTGAATGCAGTGCACTGAATCCTCGCTGCATATTGCCCCGCGACGTGGCAGGGTATGAACGCTCCGCGTCCTCATTGGCGAGTTGCAGTGTCCGTTGAGCCTTCAGAAACGCAATTACAGGCACTCTATAGACTCAGCATGAATAGCATCCCATTCAAGTAATAAGAATATCCGTTGATCCTTCAGTAACGCAACTACAGGCACCCTGCAACTAACGTTCGTAATGCCGGCGCTACACGATGCTACGAACACCCTCCAACGTTCGACGCTTGATAGTTTGTCGCATCGTGTGGCCGAGCTTCCAATCTACGAGCTACGAATGTCGAGCGTCGAACATTCGCGTTTGGACACGTTCCAGCCACTGTCGGTATTTCTGCCCCGAGTCAAAGGAATTCCTAGAACGTTGGGAGGAAAACATTCGTTGGTTTGATGCACGGCTACACGAGTGGGTCGAATATAGCAGTCTTATCAGGTCGTAAATGCTGTAAGGAATTCCTAGAACGTTGGGAAGACAACATTCGTTGGTTTGATGCAAGGCAACACAAGTGGGTCGAATATAGCAGTCTATCTTGAACTATCAGGTGGTAAATACTGTTTGTTAAAATAGAGTAAAAGAGTAGAAGTAAATTATAGTCATTGATCTGTATTTAACAGGTCGGTATATTTTAACATTATAATTTTAACATAATAGACGGAGTTTTAAACATTTTTAATTATTTTTTTTAATATTCTGATCGTTCAATTAGGGTGTGATTTTACAGGTTTTTAAGATGGAATGGAACACTGAATTAATTATGGAATTTATCAACTTATACGAAAAACACCCAGTACTTTGGGATCCCAAGCATTCAAATCATAAAAATCGAAACAGTTTAAATGACGCTTGGCTGGATATTGCGAGTGAGTTTAGCATTGATGTAACTGTTGAATTATTACGAAAGAAAAAAGAATCACTTATGGCCACCTATAGAACTTTATCAAGAAAAGTACGAGACTCCGAAACAACTGGATCTGGAACCAAGGATGTATATAATCCATCATGGTTCGCATATGATGCCATAGACCGCTTTATTAGGGCTACAGGAAAGAAAACAACATCGTTAAGTTCAGAGGTAATTTTATTTCATATAGTTTATTTAATAAACAAAAAAACATTGTTATCAGTCAATTAACATAATCTTGCCATTCAACTGCTCCGTTAGTTATAAAATATTCTGCAAACTCCTTTCGAATATCTTTTGCCTCCTGAGATGGTTTTCTCGGTGTTTTGGAAAGAGGGGTAAGCGACGAATTGCTGGTCTCTTGGCGCCATGTTCCTGGTTTCAAATGTCCATCTTCTTCATAATCAAAGCTGCCATTTGGGCTATATATTTGCCTAGATGTATTACTTCGCCGTAGAAAATTATGAAGTAGTGCACATGTCATGCAAACCATAGCAGCTTTTTCAGGCTGTATCAACATCGGTGTTCTAAAAACGCGGAATACAGATGCTAAAATTCCAAAAACATTTTCTACAATTCTTCGTGCTCGACAAAGGCGGTAGTTAAAAATCCGTTCAATGCTACCCTTGGCATGATTTCCAGAATATGGTTTTAAAAGTGAGCTACTAAGAGGGAATGCATCGTCACCTACAAAAATGTATGGTACGCTCTTGTGGCGCCCCGGCAGAGGTTCGTTTGGTGGAAGCAAAAGTTCCCTACGTATCATTTTACGATAGAGTGTTGTGCACGCAAACACTCCAGCGTCGTTCATTCTTCCTTGCGCCCCAACGTCAATAAATGTAAAGCAATAATCTGCATCAACCAGTGCCAAAAGTATGATGCTGAACGATTTTTTATAATTAAAAAATTTCGATTCGCTATTAAATGGAGCTTGAAGTAACACATGTTTACCATCTATTGCTCCCACACATTGGGGAAAGTTCCATCGCTGATAAAATCCATTTGCTATTCTTCTCCAATCTTCCTCTGAATGTGGCAACTAGAAATAAAACAAGGATTATGTTTTTGAAATACTTTTAGTGGCATTATATATTTTTAAAATACGTTTAACCATTTTAAATGTCTTTTTTAATGAAAATATTTTAACTACAAATATTTTTATAGGAAACCGAGATTGAGGATGAGAATTCTCAGAATGAACAGGAGGTATTGAATGATCAAGAACTAGAAGAACAGGGAAATGAGCCTAACTTAGTCCGCGAAACAAGACAAGACATTAACAAGAATCCAGAGCGAGGATATACAAGTTTTGTATTGCCTCAAAGCGCTCCAGGAAATAAAAGAAAAGTAGGCCCCAATCCAGTCGAAGCAAATTTAGCTAAGCATTTAAAGCAAGCAAGTGATGCTTTAACAACTCTTACCACCAAATCGCAAACAAAGACATTGCAAGATGCACCTGCGTTATATGGGCAGCTGTTGGCTGCTAAACTTAGAAGCTTGTCACAAAGAACTCAACTTATCTTACAAAATAAAATAGATAACCTCGTTTTTGAAGCAGAACTCAATGAAATTGATAGTTCTGGTGCTACAGGTGGGCGTTCCGTTACTACTAACGTTATTTCCCCAGAACCTAATCCATCTGCATCAAGCAGTCATTCTTCTTCTAGCCCGAACTATGTAGCTTCTCCAGGACCCTCCCATACTTTTCAAGAAAATGCCAATTTGGTTATTACTTCTCAATCTAGTGACACCTCACTCGTAACCTATTTTTCTACTGCTCATGATACTTTAGATATCAGCAGAAATGATATGTAAGATAAATAATTATGTCCATTAAAGGCAATAAAAAAATAAGAATAACAGAGTTACATATTTCTTACCCGTATCTCATCCTTTAGTACTTCAATGAGAGCCTCACAAACATTGGCGACGATGCGGCTTATGGACTGATGTGATATTTTAAATAGGTATCCAAGACTGGTAAATGTGTCGCCACTAGCCAAAAACCGTAGAGTAACTGCTAGACAGTCTTTTACTGGAATAGCTTGTCTCATATTGGTGTCTTGTTTTTTTATTTTTGGCCCAATTTTATTCAAAAGATATTCAAAATCTTCTGCTGACATTCTACAAAAGTTCTCAAATTTTCCTGAGCTTTCTCTTCGTAAATCCAGTAGCATATCTGAGCCATTGTACCTAAAATATAAGTTTTGCTACAGAACATTTGAAATCATGTGCATGAATAAACAAACATTTTATTCATCGTCATTTCATTAACGGATATTTGTTCATTACTTACCGTCCTCTGCTCTTATTTAGAGATAACATCCACCATCTTCTTGTACGTCTTTTACGTTTCTTGTTTTCAAGTAATAACTTGGCACAAGACAATACTACTACCGCTGCGGCTGCAATTGCAACGTCTGTATCCTCCATTTTAGAACTACTAGGCAAACGTTTGTACCAAACAATTTTGGTTCAAGCATTCGCCACACCGTGTAGCAGATACATTTGCCGCACCAACTGTCGAACTTATTTGACTCAAACGTTCTGCCCAACGTTGGAGCCAACGTTCGTAGCATCGTGTAGCGCCGGCATAAGACTAACCATGAATAACATCCCATTCAAGTAATAAGAATATCCGTTGATCCTTCAGTAACGCAACTACAGGCACCCTGCAGCTAACGTTCGTAAGACTCAGCATGAATAACATCCCATTCAAGTAATAAGAATATCCGTTGATCCTTCAGTAACGCAACTACAGGCACCCTGCAGCTAACGTTCGTAAGACTCAGCATGAATAACATCCCATTCAAGTAATAAGAATATTGCTTCTGTGTGAACAACGCTGACGACGTTTAGAGTAATGTCGTTTTGATACAAGAGCAGTGACATGAATATATTTTTCAATCAATATAATGCTTAAGAAATTGAAACCTGACATGATATCCCCTCAGTGACGTAACGTAAAGTGTGCCGGTTACGGTAGCCAAGCGGTCTAAGGCATATACTGTCATCGCTCGCTCGGAAGTCGGAATCGTGGGTTCGAATCCCACTCAGGGTATGGATGTTCAGTGTTTGTCTGTGTGTTTCTCTGTGTTTGTGTACAGGTAGAGGCCTTGGTACGAGCTGATCACCCGCTCAAGGAGTCCTGTCTAGTACACCGAAGTGAAACGGAGAGTTTCATGGAGGTAGGCCAAGGCCCAAATTGGGGCTGTAGCGCCAAAAGAAAAAAAAAACGCAAAGCGCAATATATGCCATTTCCCTGCTTTTTCTGAACCCTTGCATATATCACTTGTTTCCCGCACTCGCGTTTTCTCTGTTCTTGTAATGAAAATGCAGTTTCCTTGTTTTACATGACTGGCAGGTTCTAACAAAACATTCTTGCAAGCCCCATCTCGTAGCGTGTGAGCTTTGCCGGCTCCATATCGATTTCCAATTAGCCCCTCTTTGCCTCTCCAGAGGCACGGCTTCACTACAGCAGCCTCAAGTGGCGGGGGCGGAGCAGTTCAGAACGCGATGCACTCGATCATTCTGCGACCTTTGGGTGGGAGGGGGTTGCTTCAGATTCCTTGAATGTTATTATTACTACTGCTACTGTCTATAGTCAAAGCATTACAGCTGATGTTTGTGTAGTTCTTTATAGGCTTACATTTCTTCAGTGATAGTTCATTGATATGAACTGAACTGAAATTCAGGTTTATTGGGGTTGCGCACTTTGACCATAATCCGCTATTCTAGAAAATACGAAAGAACATGTTTCGGAAACTGGATCTGTTTCCGTCCTCAGGTGAGGGAAGAGACACCTACCCTGTTGGGTTCCTTAGAAAGAGGTAACCTCAATCACTGGACAGCCTGTGTCAGTATAACTACAGGGCTCAGACTTTGGCAGTGGCAGATAACAGGAAAATGTGCAATACAAATTGCCATTAAATATGTGGAGACCTGCAACTAAGATAGAAAAGGAGATGGAAATTCTATGCAACAAATCAAGTCCATGAAAACCAAAGTATATGAGGTATCACCAGCAAGTTCATCAAATCTCCGACTTGGGCGGCGTTAGCTGAGGCGTGGATGGGTAATTTGATGGGCTAATATTTCGGGGTAGATTATTGTGATCATGAGATTGGTTAAGTTATGTATCTCAGCTACTTATATTTTGACTCTGTCGCGAAGATCACATTAAAGGCGAAACACGCCGGTTATGCACTATACAAGAAGCCACAATGATTCACTTTGATGAGAAAGTGCATTTATTACAATTCGCCAGATTATTAACACAGAATTTTATATTATATATTATATTATTTATTATACTGCAATTGGGTTTTAGCCCGGTGGCAGTAGTACACAATAGGACACAACAGACAAGTAACACACATTACACTAAGTGACAACACGTTCAAACAAAACACAACAATAAGGTCATCCTACCACAATGAATACAAACCAAATACGATTAACAACCACAACAATTACAGAGAAATACAAACAACTGCAACAAATACAACAACAATTACAGAGAGAGAGAGAAAAAAAATACACAAACAAAAGGAAACCAACAGTCATGGATGCGTAATGTCATTTACTTCACTTCACTTCACTTCACTTCACTTCACTGCAATTTTTTTCTTTTTAATTATTTCCACCCCAACTTCACTTCGCCTCATTTATCACTTTCCTAACCCTTTGCCTAAAATTGCTTGGTTTACAGGACAGAGTACCTAAAGCATCTGCAGGTAGTTGATTCCAGAGCTGTATGGTCCTATTTACAAAGCAGTATTTCCCGATATCTGTCCGTTGCTTTCTACTCCTAATTTTCTTGCCATGATCACCCCTGCTCAGATAGCATGGTGTTTCTAATCTGTCACCTATAGCCTTCCAAGCCTTCCAAGAATTACTTAAGTCGCAGAAGCAATGAAGCGTAATTATGTGATGTTGATCAATTTCTACCTCGCCTCAATTTAACCCATACTCGGGTATTAATTTATTATAACGAATTTGCTAGAGTCGCCAAACACGTCCACTGACTTGTGAAGTTGAAAAGAGGAGCGCCCCCTCCCCCAGATGACTCTTACCAGCGACGCATCAACTTTCCAAGAAGTGGCATCCGATGCTAACACAACCCTCATTGCTAACTGACTGCAGTTCCTCACCCTGACGTCGATTGTATGCATTCCTGTTGATTAAAACTAACGAAAAGCACAGTAATGCATTCCCACATCTGGAAACCATCAGCCCCAGGACCTACTCCGCCGGCCCGACTGGACCCCACTCGACCTGACTTAACGGTGACAGATACCGCCTTGTGCTTAGATTTCTTCCCCAAACGCCACAAAAGAATTCCAAGCTCCGCGACAGACTCGCCTACCACAAGTCTAAATAATAAATAAAAAATGTAGCCAAAAGATCTAATATGCCTATAAGTCTAAACGATGTCTCNCCTGAGTGTTATACACAATTCGCAGAACCCTTTAGAATCTACTCAAACTGAAATTCTCCCTTATGTCTCAAAGCAGCACATCCCCTCCCCCTCCATATTAAACCAGTAATACTCAAGTAGCATCCGAAGTATTAGAGATATTCAACGTCGCTGATACCAAAACTGGATCCGGTCTCTACGGCACTTGAATCGCATTCTTATTCTCAAGTCCTTATTCCAAGATCCATTTGACTACTGTGCCTTTTCTCCTGTTCCCTTTAGGCCTGAAGTGGCCGCCCTCACAGAGATCTTATTAACATTTTTTACGAATTTCTTGCTTCTCCAATTGTTGCCACATGTGCAGTGACCCAACATGACTACGTGAACTGCTTAGCTTAATAACTACATCGATTCGGGATTAACGAGTATTTGGACGTTGTCCATCATCCGGTATTCTAAAGAGCGTAACATTTCTGAAACCGGATCTGTTTCCATTCTAAGGCGAGGGTGTGGGAAACACCTGCTCTGTTTGATCAGTTATGTTATTTAATGTTCTTTCGAAACCGGTCGATGGACAAAGGCATAAAACCCAGTAATCCGGACTGTTTTACACTGTCGTCAGAAACCTTTACGGCCTAAATAAATTAATATAGTTCCTCTTCATATAACAGCCTTAATTGCCTATAGCCCACTAAATCCACGTTTAATCGAAATCTGCGCAGTGTCTTGAGGTCTGAAACGCAGTCGAGTTGGTGGAAAATCGTGGCCTCCTTGTTCTGCTTTCATTTGGCTGATGTTGCGACCACTGAGCCCACGTGAACCGCATTGCAGTAGGCGATTCCTCTGTAGTCGATTGTCTCGTGTTCAGAAAAGTCCAGATGGATATTTTGTTCAGGCAATTAGGACGCGACATTTATTTATTTCTTTCCCATAGATGGACACCTGAACCCAGTATTTATTTTTGGTTGCTGAAGCCCCTAAAGGTGGAGCAGTATTGCTTTCTAATACAAACAAATGGACTGGAATGCACTGAACTAATCTGTTACAAGAGTCCCAGAAAATATCACTGCGACACGGAGCCTTAGAAGATTTGTTTCCTGTGTTCCTGCTGCTTTCTGATTTTGCTTTGCAAATGTTTGCTGCAAGGGCTGTGAGTGAGAATGCTGGAAAAAGAAAAGTGGAAAATTATACTGTAATTTATTTGCAATTTTCCTTACGTCTCGAAATGTATTCTTTTACTTCAGTCAGAGTTACAAATCTGTTGCTAACAGAACTAAAAAGAGGGTAGGTATGACAATTCACAGGAAGGCCTCTGTCCTCTTGTGTCTTGCAATATGTACCATATTGCAAGGTGTTTCAAATGCAACGTCGTTATTTGAATGGCATCTATATTCCATGCCAGGCACTAATTTCATTTTGTGCCGTGAGATATTTTGAAAAAATTGTATACCAAATAGGGGTTATATAGGACCGATAGAGCCTGTAGGTCAAAATGAAATTAGCTCGCCTACTATAAACGTAACCACAAGTATGGTAAATTTAATCAAAATTGGTTAAATTGTTTTGTAAGTATTGTACGACCTTCCATATTACGCCTACACTTCACAGGAACAGTGCATAAGAATCCTCCGGCATCTCTCGTTGTTAAGTGTCCCTGCCGTAATGGTGTGTATCCTTGAGAGGCAGACCCTACAGTCTCCATTGTAACTACTATTATGAAGACTTCTGATGTCTCTACAAATGTTACGTTTTTGGACATTACCCATCGCCTTGTTTTTATCTAAAAACCGCCCCGCTTATTTTTCAAAAGACAACGTTTCGGAGACTGGATTCTGTCTCCGCCTTCAGGTAAAGCCTACTCAGTTGGGTCCAATCGAAAGAGCTAGTCCCTGTCTCCGGAGATAGAATCCAATCTTCGTAATGTTGTGTTTCGAAAAATAATCAGGACGGTTTTTAGGTAAAGACAAGACCATGGATAATGTCCAAAAACATAATATTTGTAGTAATGTACTATCGTCACAAATTTTAGATCGTATTTCTAATGTCTGTTTCATTCAAGTACTTCAGTCTTCATGGTGAGGCCAGCAGAAACATAAATTATTAATTATACAATTTAGTTATACTTAATCCACTACAGACTCTAACTACGTTAAAAAATCTCAGATTTACTTGATCT